AAATCGTTAGGACAGCACCATAAAAGTCAAATAGAGTACACAACTGTGTCATTCGAGCTCGATCTGTATTCCACAAAACAGGACACTGAGGTTATAGTCTCGCCAGTGGGGCACGCCATGCAGCCAAAGTGCTTGCAGCGACCAATTCCTATGGCAAGTCAACCCACTTCAAACCTCAGTCTTTTCCTAACCCAGAAGACAGATGCTGCTCTAGAGGTACGTCAGGCGTTGCAAAAAACCGTCAAGTCCTTCTATTGTAAAGTAAGGTGAATAAGATTCAGATTAGATGTCAGGAACGCATGTATTTGTTTCGAACTGCTGATGGTAGTTCTGACTGAAAAACATCTCTACACTGACGTCTCAGGCAATGATATGTGTATTCAAGGTAACACACCTTACTGGTTAGACAGGGTACACAAAACAGGGGAAGGAGCTACAACATACATAGACACACAATACAATGTATTGATACCACACAGAACGATGGCGGCAGAAACATGGTGGTGTTACTCCAACACTAACGGCACAAAGTGCCCTTTCGTAGGAACATACCGACTTTCCACAGCTTCCAACACCCAGAGAGATAATATAATCCAGGTGCCACTAGAAAAATTACACCACCGGCTCGACTATGTACTCCTAGCCCGAGACCAAAACACTCCGTTTTATATCTCACAAATCAGGACAGAACCTCCACAGGGTAATATCATAGTCGATTTCTCACAATCATTCAACATTCAGGATAGAGTGGACATGTGGGTGACGCCATGAAGTCATATTTTTCACTGTTTTCGAGCAGACGATCAGTTTCTCCCCCGAGGATATCCATGCTTAAACGCAAGTACGGAATAGTGATCGTGGCATAGACATGTTTAACGTGGTTACTTACAATGCACTCCGGAGGAACGAAAATACTCCCTGCCCTTACTTTACTGAGGGTGAAAGCATGTCCATTTTGAACCATCTCCATCAAGCTACATGACCACAAGCGTGCTGGTAGCTAAGAGTGTATGATCACCGAGACTTAGTGAGGGATATTATTTAGGAAGTTATCCTGTACAACGTTCGAACGTCTCGGCGAACGTTCCCGTCTGTGCAAGTTACAGAATTCTTTCTTCAGGCAAAAAAAGAGCCTGACACAAATGAAAAGTTGCCCCAGAGGATTCTCGCCGTACCTCTTATTTGGTATTGAGAAACAAATGAGACGCCAAGGTTCAAACTGACAAGCGACACTGGGATTCAAAATAGAAATGCCTCAGCTACCCACCTTTAGTGTTAGTTGGAAAAAACATATTAAAGTTAGTTCAATATTTTCAACGCTGATATGGTGGACCTTTGCGTTTTAGATGAACTACAGTACTTCAAATTGTATTTCCCGTTTTGTATAAACACCTAACTTTGTGTTTTTTTTGACTAAACTACTATTTGAATCACACTCCTACTTTGCAATAACAGCGCACTATTGTACAACATAACTTCGTGTTATAAACGATAAGGTAAAATTTCAATTAAGTTTCCAGATAATGTGTAATAAGTTGCACTGAATGTAAACCATAGGCTTTCTACTAGTTGAACTCAACTACACGATACGCGATACAGTTTACTGTAATGTTGAAACATTGAGTTCGGCAACGCTACCACAAAAACTCAACAATAAAATAACGCCAGCACATGGAGCCAGACAGTATGATGGAAGTGAACAATGTTAATTCCCAAAAATTAACCCAATAAATTTTCATCAACAATAAATGAATACATACTTCATTTGGTAGAGAGTTGGGCCGTTGAAACATATGATCCGTTTCAAAACGCCAACCTAGAAGTTCTTTTCGATAAACAGGACGGAACCTGAATAAACGAGCTACATAACGTGGCCAATAATTAAATTTCTGAATATGATTTAGCTAAAATATTAGTCAACCTAATCGCCATATCTGAATCACCGTCCTTAAGGACCTCTGTAACCAATCCATGTATACCAGTTGCTCTCCCTCGCTTCAGACTAGCCATAGCTTTTTGAACTTCGATTAGAGCTGAGAGGCCTGCTTCAATGTTCCATTCACACTGTCTGGGAATGGTGAGCAGTTGTAGAGTCAGTCAGTAACAATGTAGAACACCGTACGTAGGTACATCAGTTCGAGTTGCCACACCACATTAGCACAGAGATGCAGTTGTCGACTCGAATCTCGTAATGGTAGAGATGGTAAGAGTATAAGCAGTAATCCAAAAGATTAGGGTTTGAAGATGTTATTCAAGGAGTATAATATAGTGAAATAAATTTGGAAAGAGAGAAAAAAAGGACATGAAGAATTCAGAAGATTAGAATTTGGGATAACACAAAAAGTGGATGCACTTGCGCCATGGCAAACGATTTTGATCCATGTCATTCAACATCTCTAAACATCGGTTGCTATCATCTCGTGGTCCCCAACCAGGTAGTCTACACCCACCAACATGACTCAGTCCACTTGTCAGTGACTTCATGGACTTGTGCCATGTTTTGGTCTGGACGCCACTAGCTTTCTTCCAACCTACTCCTACACCATAAAACATCGCACGTCGAGGTATTCGGTGGTTGGGCATAGGTAACACGTGTCCCAGCCATCTCAACTGATGAATTTTCACTACTTCGTCAACTGATTTGCCATCCTTACCTAATACTCGTTTGTTAACAACTGCGTTACTTACTCAATGGTCCCATGATATACAAGCAATGTTTCGAAGACACCTATGATCAAATACTAGTAACCTACGAATCTCCTCTGCTCTTACCGGCCATGTTTCACTGCCATAAATTAGGACGGGACGAACTGCTGCGCGGGAAACACGTCCTTTGTTTGGTAGACGGATGTCTCGCCTACGCCACAAATGACGCGAGTTGGCAAAAGCTTCTTTAATTACAAAGCTTATTAATTAACAAACCATAATACACATCATTACCAGTATAGAGAAGAAAACCATGTAAGTATGAATGGGGAATGTGAGTCGTCATAGACTTCTGATTACGTTCCGTAGTGTACGCATATAACACACGATGCAGTGGCCGACAGCATGTACCTAAACTAAAGAAATTCAACACAAACCCACAAACAGCAAAAATTCTTTAAACCACAAAATTACATAAAATCCCATACATTATTTTAAACTTGTTATAACAGTTCAGTCGAAACCTACTTCATAAGACATTTTTCGAAGCGGCTGGATATCAGTGACGTGAAAGATAAACTAAAATTTGTAAGGAGCATAACTTCACCCACAGAATATAATTACATAATATTTCCATTACATTTTCAAAAGAACAAATACATCTTGTAGATGAGTGGGAAGCGGATACAAAACCAAACTTCTTGACTGTGCCAACTAAATAATCTCTATATGTAAGTTACTTTGAAATCGATTTCCACTTTACAATCGTTTATAATCGTTGATATTTTAAATAAATTTCTCGGAAACAACGGAATGAATCATAACGTAGATTAACAAAGTTTCTTTTTACGCATGTCCAGTGACATACTGACAAGATCTTTTTCTAACTTTGACAAACGAAACTCAACAATGTGGTTGTAAATTTTCTCGTTTGTTCATCCGAAATGAATTTTCGCCACTAATATACACACGTATTGTGACACTATGACGTATAACGACTTTTTGTCGGAAATCATCAAACCAACATTCTATGTACAAACTTCTATGGAACTACTCACTCCCAGTTAGATGCAGATACCCAAATAGGTCGATCTTTCAAGTGCAACTTGGTGAGTAACCTAAGGTGGGTTTAAACAAAGGATTCAGCTGTCCGTAATGCAGGTCAATCGACCCATTTTATGAAACCTATTTATTAACAGGGTTTCTTTCTGGATGTTCACGCAATGTTGTTGCGTATTTTGCGAGAATAGAAAGCTATTCACGAAGCTATATATTACTTATTGGTTGGTCTACACCGCATAGAGAACCGTTAGTTTCCATCCTTAAATTCCCAAAACATCCAAAAACTAGTAGTTTGAGATGCTATTTATTACCTTAATACAATGTGATATAGATATACACATCAAATAAACGGTTCTGAATAATATTGTAGACATATTTTAAAAAAAAAAGCAATATCCGTCATAACTATAGCAGTTATATACTAATAAAAATAATAAGTATACGGGGATAAAGTAAATCAAGAAAACGGTTGAATGAATTTTTATTTTTATCTCAATCGATTACATGAATAGATTATACGGTTGCCATTCGTCGTTTCAATTCGCCCAGCTATGTTGAATGGTATGCTTTCAACACTTTAAGAACAGTTACAATGAGAAAGGGGAAGAGAGAGAAATGAGGGGAAACTTCACAATAAAATCGCAAATAGCACCATTTTATCATTTGTCCTGATTTAAGTTTTATACTTAGGGCCGAAACATTTTCTTAATTTGCAAATAGTGTGCAACATGACGCTGCCATTAACAAACAAAATAATGATTCTTTACAAACAAAAATATGCATTTATAAATTTCAAACTCTTACAACATTGGGGGTACATACATATTATTCTTCTTTACTAGCAGCATACATGTGCTATGCTGTGTAATCTATTTTTAGAAAAAAATAATCTGAGTGTCGATTATGTAAGTGGCTTACTTGGTTTTATACACCGTTATATATATATTATTATTATGATAAACAGATAATTATCTCCCAGTGGGGTTTTTCAGTTAAAATGGGAGGAGAAAAGATAGTTAAATATACAAATTGTTTTTTTAAAACAAACAATAGTGGTACACAAAAAATGCACACGCAGTCAAATATATAGAACATGATATGATGCAACCATTCAAATGTACAGATCTTTGTTTCCTTTATATACGTTGAATCCCAGTAAAATAATATCTAAATTTAGTCTGAAAGCAGTTTTTACAAATACACACTACACTCAGTTTCCTAGAATTATCGACTAATACAAACTGATTAATAATACTAACGGTAGCGATTACCAACACCATTATTATTATCAACTAATTAATGTTATGATATCTTGGCAATGGATTATAAAAGCAGACGTGATAATCCTGGAAACAGCGACAACGATAGTTTCGTTTGATTTTATCATTTTTCGAAGGGATCACACTCATAAAATATAAATCATTGCATCCTGTTTGTTGACATAAGTCAATGCATTTTTTGGCTGTTTCAACAGTGCACATAAAATATCCAGTAGCTAAAAAGTAAATAAAAGCACGATGTAAATAAGTGCATATAGATATTTGTTTATTTTTGAATTTCATTAGAAAAGTGACTGAACAACTTACTGAGATTAACTGAAGAAAGTGATTTGACTCTCCCAGAGAGTCATAGATGTACACTCACAAGGTATGTTAAAACGGTGAAACCGTTTCTCAGAGTTATCATATTAAAACGGTGGTTATTAGTGACATATTTGAAAGATAAACGTGGTTGTTTTCTAGTAACAAACCATGATTTAATGACCATCAAATGTGGTGGCCAGAGCACACTCCTGGATCGAAAGCAGGTATCTCATCTAGTGACTATCAAGAGATAATCGTACTCATTTAAACCACAAGCGGGAAGTATCTTGGTGTTAATGAAACAATCCTTTAATCTGGTCACACTCCTATGCATGATCTTCAAAAAATTCTTAGTAGAGTATTTAGTAAGACAAATAAGATAGTTAATAGCTAAACAAACTTCAACTAAATTGTCTTATACTTTCTCCTGGTGACTACCAACTCACGTAATAGACTAGAGATCCGGAAAGAAACCAAGTCACTGAAGCTATCCATTTCATCCTTTTTTAAAAAAACTACTGAATATTCTTCAATCTGGGGTAAATTTTTTAGCCATCTAGTATGATGTTTGTAAAGACAACCTGGATGGGCTTTATCATCATAAAACGTTTCAGTAGAAGGTAACATCTCTGTTAAGTAATATATTGATAACCAACTGTAAAACTTGTAGCGAGATTTAATCATTTTACAGAACATCAAGATCTGAATAGTGTGTTCACGGTTATGGCGAAGCTTAGTGTCAGAAGTCCTCAGTGAATGTACTTAATGCAATCAGACCGAAAGTTCTGGGTTAGAATCCCACGGGTGGTATCGTGGATGCATACTGCTGAAGAGTCCTGTACTAGGAGGAAATGGTTGTCCAGTGCCTCCAGGTTTTCCATGGTGGTCTAGCTTAAATTGATTCATGATTTCAACTATTAAATTACAATCAGTTTTGTTTAGAACCCTCCAAGAACATTTTGGGAAAAGACAGATCATATATCCCATCCTGATTAGATATTCACTGATCTTTTCACTAATTTTATCATGTTCGCGAAAATTTCTAAAGCCCCAAGGTTATAGGTAAACAATAAATGCTCTAGTTCTCTGTATGCCAAATAAGCTCTTAAGGAGTGTTTTCATGCTTCTCGCCTTTTTGATTCCTATTTCTGGATTCGATAGCTAAAGAATCCCGGGGACTTGGAAGCGGTTAGAAAGTCGGTGTCTAGGCGTTCACTCATAAAGCATATCGCTTAAATTACTTCCTAGAGTTATCCTTTTAAGCTTCTCAAAAGACACGTGATGCAGACAAGAGTCACTAGTGATGAAGCATTTTATGGCAGATTAATGCTCCAGTGATTAACTATTTCATAGACCATTTTGAAAATGAATAGAATGATCACGCGATTCTCCGGTGGTGAATCACTTCCAGCGTTTAAGATTATATTAAGATCCTTAATCACAATTTAGCTTAAGCCAAGGTCGAAGAACGTTCGATAGTGGAACATTTGAGCCATTCAATCAACACTGATTATCACGATCCACGATTTTGCTCAGCTTCATTTATTGTTTGAGTACATGAGCGTGAAAATGTTTTAAATGTATTTATATAAATATGGAAAAGAAATTAAAATAATAACACACCGTTATGATATCTGTAGTTTTCTTCAGGACATGGTTTTGAAAAGTTCACATCATCTTTTGCATATGTTTCTATCGGCTTAGCTAGAAAAGGTAGGCAAATTTGTCAAGGCCATGAGTAATATTATACATAATTATTCATTTAAACAGAAATGAACATGATACAAACATTTTATTTCAATAATTAAGGGGTGAAATTCCGTTCTTCTCAAAAATTTCACTTTAGAGTACGTATAAAAGAGAAATTAGATTGGAACCTGCAGCGAATTTAAATTCCTAGTCATTTAGTTAAGCAGTGTTTTTTTTAAAATAAATAAGCTAAACAAATATAACATCAAATAGTTGCACATGGATGCATATTTTTCAACTATAAACTCTATTTAAACCTAAATTCCAGTTAGATAATCTGCACATGGGCACCTGTAAGTTAAATTAACTGGGTTGAAAAACATATGAGGTTAATCAACCATTGATTGATTATCGAAACATTCACACGCGTACACCGTAGTCTGTGCTATTTAACTGAGGTCGTCAAGAGTTAAAAAACCAATTGATCAACCTAATCAATACCACCTTCAAACCAACTATAATGGGAAGGATGAAATGATTATATCATGTTTTCTTGAATCACGTCTGTTGTATCAGTTTCCTGATTAATATCTACTCCATTCATCATATTTCTTTTCAGTCATATTGATGCTACCTTCTTGAACCGCAGCAAAATGTAACACCTCAAATTGATCCAGTTTAGCAAAAAGTTGGATACTGTTTTGGTATTTCTGTCTCTGAATAACGAATCCAGTACAAATAATTTTGGAAATCCTTCAATAGTTTATCTACACAATAACGAATATTAAATATTACTATCAAAGATATTCTTCATAAGGGTATCTATAAAATGTAAATTACTATTGTTATGTTAAAATATATCCAAGCATGTACATACCATACAGTCTTTGGTAGTGAAGGATTTTATGAAGACAGTATAAGGGTATGACAGCTTCAACATCACAGTGAACACAATCTAAGAATGTTTTATTTAAATGTCTTTATATATTTATATTGGATTGTGTGAGCTTACGGACTGAAGTAATGGTATCAATTTGTTTTTGTGATTAATTATTACTTAACCACAATTGATCTTAGCATAACTACTGAGTCAATGATAATTCAATATTAAAAATTATATAAATATTAACAATAGATTAAAATGAAAACATCTTATTGAAATACAACAATTTTAGCGAGTAATTGAATAAAACTGAATTTTTTTTAAGGACATATCGTTTTCAAATAGATAATCATCAGGATTCACTCTGGTAGACAGTGGTTATATTTGTACATATATATGAAGAACATCCAAGTAATCAATGTATTTGTGGGTCATGGACAACAATGAATAAAGATTACATAAGTAAATGAATAAAATGTACAACTTGATATTAAGTTAACAGTTATAGTAGTAAAGAAATAATAAACAGATAGATTGATATAGAATATAGGTCAAAGCTTGAATAAATAAACCCATTGAGTCATTCAACAGAATTAAAACATTTTAGCTACGAAAATTTTCTTTTTCAACAATGTCATTTATCTAAGTTGTATAATTGTACTTTTTAAGTAATTTTACATATGGTGGTCGATATCGAAATACATGAAAGTTGAGTCATAAGTAAAACGTTTTAAAGTATGGAATATAATAATCATTAGAAACCAAGAGTTGGGAAATATGTGAGAATTCACTTCAATTACGCGTACAGCAAAGCAACAATGAGTAGAAAGAATTGATAATATCGTCTATCAGCTTTTCTTTAGTCAATTTAAGGACAAAGATATTGCAGCCGTTATTTTAAACACAAAGATTAAGATTGATAACTCAAATTGTTTTACCTTTTGAGACATAACTTACTTATTCCTGCTATTCCTCGTGAAGTAGCACAGGCCGACAACCAGAATTATCCATCCAACCCTCTCTTGAACAATCCTTTCCAGTTCTTTCTAGTTGCTATTCATCCTTTTCATGTCTGCTTCCAATTCACAACGCAGTGTGTTCTTTGTCTTCCTCTTTTTCGTTTCCCCTCAAGATATCAAGTTGGAACTGGCCTCGTGATGCCGTGTAATGGTTTAAACAGTATATCTCCTATCCGCCTCCAGCACCTTTTTCCAACTTCCTCTTCAGCCGGAAGCTGGTTTATTCTCTCCCACAGTAGGCTGTTGCTCGACCAACGGACAACGAGTATCTTGCGTAAACAATTGTTGTTGTAGTTCTCCAAGTTACAGCTCCAAACAGTAGAACCGTCTTGACGTTCGCATTGAAGATTCTGACTTTGATATTGTCTTGCAGACAGTTGTTCTGAGTTCCATATATTCTGTGACTATAGGAATGCTATCCTTGCTTTGCCGACCCTCGCCTTTACGTCTGAATCAGATCCACTGATTCACCGATGACGCTGCTCAAGTATATGAAAGGTTCCACTTTTTCCAGGACTTCTCCATCAAGTGTGATTGTGCTGGTGTTCTCTATGTTGTATTTGAGGATCTTGCTTTTTCCCTTGTATATGATGAGGCCTACTGATTGTATTTCCCCGCATTTGCTGATGTGTATGGGATAGAAGAGCTAGCTCATGTGCAAAGTTTATATCGTCCAGTTGAATCCAAGCTATCTATTGTATTCCATGCTTCCCCTGATATGTGGAGGCCTTCATAATCGAGCTAATTACCAGAAGAAAGGGAAGGAGAGAGAGAGAGAGAGAGTAAGTAACTTTGTCTGACAACTGTCTTGACTTGAAAAGCGTCTGTCAGCTGCCTTCTGCTCATAACTTTGCAGCGTAGTCCGTCGTGTGAATTTTGTATGATGTTGACAATCTTCTCACCTACTCACACCGTAGTGTCGAAGAAGGTCCCATAATGTTCTCCTATCCACATAGTCAAAAGCTTTTTCATAGTCCAGAAAGTTGATGTATGGTGACGAGTTTCACTCAAATGATTGTTCAGTGATGATCCGTAGTGTCACGATTTGGTCTGTGCACGACCGATCCTCACGGAATCCAGCCTGTTGATATTGAACTTTGGTGTCTGCTGAATCTTCCGTACGGTTTAACAACACTCTGTTGAGAACTCTTCCTAATACCGATAGTAGTGTAATGTCTCTACAGTTCTCGCATTTGCTCAGATCTCCTTTATTAAGTATTTCGGGACTTGTCTCTCCTCTCAAATCTTCCTGAATAGAGAATCTTCACAACTACTTCTATGTCTGACTTTAGTACTTGAGTTGGTGCGTTGTTTGGTCCTACTACTTTCCTACTGTTGATTTGTCTGATGGCCATCCTGTCTGCTTCGACTGTTTATGGAGTGATGTATTGGGAGGTTTGTGTGTGCTGTTTCGATATCTGGTGGGTTCACTGGGACTGGTCTATTCAAGAGTTCTTCAAAGTGCTCTGCCCGCTTGTTCCTCTGTTCGTGAATCTCAACGATTAATTGGTCTTCTTTGTTTCTGACTGATCTCTCTGGTTTACCATATTTCCCTACCAGTTTCTTCGTTGTATCATATATTTGTCTGGAATGTTCTTCTCCTGAAGCTTTTTCTACTGTCATTTCTTGGTGTCCCACTTATTTCTGCTTGTATCTGTCTATCCCTAGCTATCTAATTGCTTAACTTATAAGTAGAATATTATTTATTTATTTATTTACCGAAACACATAAACATTGGTATAAGGAGGCACCAAATAGATATGTGCCACATGAATCACTCGATATGTGTGAGGGCTGGGATATAACCCGGGTGCCCGAACCGAAGCAGGCATGAGTAGAGTAAATTATCAGAAAATGCATTACCAGTGTGAATTGCTTTAAAGCCAAAATATATACCTCAAAGGTGTTCATGAGTTTTGTGAAGCCGAAATATACAGTCGAGTAGATGGTAAACGTATGAATCGCTTCAACATCACAGTACATTAATCAAAATAGGGTTAGGAATTAGAATATGGGCTTTTATCACCGACTGGCATCAGTTATATCCGAAGTCCCAGTCCTGAACTAATAACTCATTCATTTATCCTAGCTATCTACTAATTGATCATAACAGGTCTAAGGGTCAATCTGAGGCACATGTCATCTTTACTATATAGAAGTATACCAAATATTATAAAAATGTATAATATAAATGTGAACAAAGTATGACTTACTGTGTACAACTGTTTGATACATATTTAAATAAATGAAAATTTTCATAATTGTAAATAATTGAAATATTTTGATGAAGATATTCCTCATAATGTATATCGTTCCACTTTTCACCTTCTATTCTGTAGTTGAAAATTGATTCTATTTTTTTCTTTCACAAACTTAATTCGTAATAAAGTAGATGATCTTTTGAACAGCACTGTGTATGAAAATATGACAGTTAATTATTGCATAAGTCAATTACATTACATTATAAAATTATTTAAATCTATCTATATCTATCTATATATATATATATACATATGGTCGAAGGTCAAGACAACTGATTCACATGTAATTAGATAGATGAATAAAACTCTAGACAATAATGATGATCTCATTAAATTGATAGGCTTTATAATTTACATAATATTAACCAACCATTTTTATAGGTAAATAACATTTATTAAGACCATGATAAAAACTCAAATTCTATTTTAGAAAATTATTTAATTCACTCACACCCACGCATTTATATTATGACAAAGCACATCATTTGTAATTGGGACAAATTTCTATAATATGGAGATAAATAGCGTGTGTGTGTGTGTGTGTAAATATATATATATATATATATATTATATATGTTACGTGTATCTGTCTCCATGTATTTTACGTATATTACACTCACAATATTTATTCGTTCATATGCCGTCTATGTGTGATAAATAGATTCACTTTATTATTAACGTTATCAATGAAGTCGATAATTTCAAATATTCAATATATATGAGATGGATTTCTTCAAAATAAAATGAGTTAAAAAGACTATCGCATTCGGGGTTCAGGATTTTTTGCATGCAAAAATAAAAATAAAAAAAGACAAGCAAATGTATATCGTTAGTGAAATGTTTGCATAAATTGCTTAATATATTAACTATGACATATGGAATTTCATAATTCCAGATGTTAAAGTTTATAATGATCAACATTCACGGACAAGAATAGGTAATTGTAATAATCATAAAAGTTACCTAGGTGTTCATATACTCATTATATAGTGTGAAAAATAAGTATTTTTAGAATTAAGATGGTGAAGAAAATTTGTAGCTCAGGTGGATGATTTTGATGGAGTTTTGTTCTTTGAGCTGGATGGTTTGGTCGTGGAGCTTTCATCGTTCTTCTGAACGAAATCATCAGCACAAACTTCAGATAGCAGTCTTTAGAATTGTATAAGTATGTTATCGTATAGAGAATTGGTGTAGCGGTCTACATACATCGAACGTTTTGTTTGTATTTCATTAATTAAATAAAAGTTAAAGTATATATATATCACTCTTTTTAATCAGTTTTCCTCATGTTCGATATTACAGTTACGAATGAAGATTAATAGAATGATCAAGTTTAGAGTAAACACATTGTTCAAAATTACTTACTTACTCCTGGTTAGCGTCTTTACTAACAAGATTCAAAATCAGAGTTTATGAATTGAGGACTGTTTGTAAAATCAAATCAAAACTGTTAATGTTGAAGTGACTAGTAAAATGTTAGCTTGAATAAGTGTATACTTAAAATAAGATTGTGAAATTGATGATCAGTATAATTATTAAATAACATGATGTAAGTGAACTACTTGTGTAATTACAAATCAGATTTAATGTTTGATCGAAGATTATACAATGTATGAATTTGTGATCAGTAATAACAATACAATGGGCTGAGTGCCAATTAAATTCGTCATGTATTTAGATGATGATTAGTGATAATAACAGTAATACAAAGATATATTAATGATTATAGTAATAATGATAATATCTTAACTATCAGTATGAGGTTGTGAAGATTGTTGAGTTTTTGATTGAGATCATGGATCGTTCAATGTTAGACCACCATTGAAAACCTGGAAACACTGGACGGCTATTTCGCGGATTGGTGAAGTTGACACCAATTAGGTGGTAGCTCAGTGGTATAGAGGTTAAGGGTTCGTACACGAAACCTAAGGTCCTGGGCTCGGATCCCGCGTAACAGATTGTGGTTTCACACCGCCGAGGAGTCCCATACTAGGCTAAGACGGTCATTCAGTGCTTTCAGGTTTTCAATAGTGGTCTAACATTGATCTATTCATGATTTCAATCAATAATATCTTAAGTTAAAAAAATTCGAAAGATAAGGTTAGGCACACATTAGTTAAATAAGGTCATCTTATAAAATTAATATAACTCAACTTGCTGCCTTTTAAGGTTGTTCAACGTGAAAGAAGTGGCTAGTCACGTTTCTTTTGTACTCAAAACTTCAGTTATTTAAGAATCTTAATGCCTACTGCTATATAGAGAATATATTCTCCGTTCACACATGATGGAGATTTTTAAACGGTTTGAAAATTATTCACACAAAATGATTATTAATGAAGAAAACTATCATAAATAAATAATAAAAAAATCGGCCTATATCAATTTGAAAGTTACAACAGATTGTTATGCAATTAGTAGTAAAGAGTTAATTAAAGGGTAATGATGATTTAAAATAGGTAGTCATATATTAATACATTTATTTATGTAAGAATAAGAGAATACAACAAAAACAATTTTATTTAAGAAAGTGAGATATTTTTATATGTTCTGATCAATCATTTATTTTAGGATTAATTTACGATGGTAAAGTATGGTCTGTGAAGGTAGAAAGTATGTACTTGATCATCTTTGTCTTCAAAATGTTACTTCAGTATAATCGAAACACCAAATGAATTATTCTGAAGCTAAATTAGGGTTTTATGTAGAAATCTCAAGTTGTTTAATTAAGTTGAATACTTTCATCAATCAAGTAGTTTATTAACTCAAACAACAGACTAGTAAGCATAGAAGTAGAATAAGAAGAAGCTAAAGGCACTTGAATCTATGTATAATATTAGTACTCAAAGTTATTTTTTATTGATCTGACCCGTTTCATGGAGTCAAAACATCTTAGTTAGATTTCATTCGATGACTACAACCGGTAATATGAGATTATCATAATTCAGTTGTAATAACGTAGATGAAAATTCTTCTTTCCTTGATTTCGTTCGTAAATTTCCAAAAATTCACATTGTTGGCTTGCCGTTACTAGTAATATTATCAATTAGACTCATTAGCTTTTACATCCCGTTAATTTCTGATTTTTATGAGAAGTCCAATAGACATATACATTTATATCAGGTTTTAAGTCGTATGTGAATAAGTAAAGTCATTTGGCCAAGGTATCGGAAATACTTGATAATTCTATATCAAAGATGAAAATATCGTATGTCATGTGGCAGTCTGAATGTAATGAAAAATGTTAATAGTTATATTTTTGAACCAATTTTGAATCTATAACGCTTCTTACTACCATTATATATCTTTTTATCATTCATAGGCGAAAACGTTAAATTACTAATAGTCTATTACTTTTTTGTTTAGTTCACATTTCTAGTGAAAAAATATAAGGATAGACAACCATTTAATATTCAAACTAATATGTTTTTCATTACAATCATGAACTGATCAATACTATGCTACTATTGAAAACCTGAAAGCACTGGACGGCCGTTTCATCCTAGTATGGCACTTCTCAGAAGTGAGCATTCGCGATCCTCCAAACGGGATCCGAACCCAGCACCTTCGGTTTTGCGCGCTAATGCTTACCCTCTATACCACTTAGTCGACATCTAACGGTGTCAATGGCTAACTTCAAACAATTCACGATGTCGCGCGACCATATTCCATTATTTTGAACAACCACTAAGTAATATATATATATATATATATATAATATGTATAGTCGATATTTTAATTTATGGAATAATCAGTTTTGTGATCATGTTCCATATGCTAAAAAAACAAAACATAATAAGCTATTATTTACTATGTAATTTAGTCATTATTGTTAGATTTCTATCGTGGATATGATGATAATAACTACTATTTGACAAATGATTCTTAAATAAGATTAAATCGTAACTGATCTACCGTATAAGAGAAGTCACTAACCATTATTTTGAGGGATTCCAACCAACCAGATCGAAATTGTAACCCAAAAGTATCTGTATTTTAATGGTTCTTTAATTGATGTGAAAGAATTTATCTTTAAGAAGACATAATTTAATGCCCGAAAGTTTAAACGAAGAGTAGAAATTGATAAATTGATTTATGAAGAATTGTTATTTTGTGAAAGTTCCCATCATTGTACCACTAGGCAACTTAGCCAATGAGATCACTGAACAACTCCCTGGCTAGTTAGGAAAGGATTAAACACAATCAACAGGCGCCACCGTTTTTATCACAATTGGTTAAAAGTTGTCATCTGTTACATAAAAGCAAATCATTTCGAATGATTTGTCACATACTTTAGCCATTCCCCATCTGGGTTTAATTCCGTTTCTTGTATGTAACATAATCTATGGTGATTCAAGTGATCAACCCTAGTCCATGTATTTAGAAGAATTATGTAACACTTCTATGGAGAGACTATCATTTATGGACGACCTTTGAATGGATCTGAAGTGACTTAAAAAATTTCAGCCAATCAGAAAACAGTCAGTATAGCGTAAGAATATTTTACACAAAACCAAAAAATAATAAGGGATGCACTTCTTTAATATAGTTTAAAAACCTTTCAAGGTTAGAAAGAGGCTCTGTACTTTCTGAAATAGTAATGCATACGATACAGGGACTCATCTGTGTGACTCCACAATAGTCGACCTGTAGAGTCATGATAAGGTCGCGAAAATTCTTTTAGCCTCGACTACATTGCTTCTATATTACTGATATGTACTTCCGTGGTGCGGTCCACAAAATGTCTCTTGTGAACGACGATATTATGCAGACAGGTATCGACATACTTTCCAGTCATCCGTGTATATTGTGGTACATGACTGCTCATATTCTCGTGTTATTGGTATTACCATTGTGGCCTGTCGGCTTCTCCCGCGCTGGAAATTCCTTTTTGAGATGACCTATTATATATACCTAGGACCTATTAATTATGGTTAAGAAAGTGCTATCCAGTCTTCTTTAGCACTTCTTCCCCTATTAAATTTGCTTGCTCCCGATTCCTCCAAACGACTGATGCAGGCTTTTCATTTTTTGGCATATCTG